CGTGTGATAATTTTGCAGGTGGTAAAAAGTTTTGTTTGTGATACGTGTGAACAAAATACAGCACAGAAGAATCGTCATGCTACAACTGATGAACAAGGTTATGCAACGACACCAAACTCAGAAGACAGATCATCTCAAAGCAAAGCTGAACCAAATATAGTTGAAACTGATGAACAAGGTTATGCAACGACACCAAACTCAGAAGACAGATCATCTCAAAGCAAAGCTGAACCAAATATAGTTGAAACTGATGAACAAGGTTATGCAACGACACCAAACTCAGAAGACAGAATATATCAAAGCAAAGCTGAACTGGAGACAGTGGGAGCTGCTGGAGGAGATGAGCAGATGTTTGGAGCAGGAAAAAAAGTATCTAAAGTATCTAGACTTTCAGAGGATTCTGGTGTTGCATCGGGAAGTCAACTTTCAGCTTTTAGCACAGATGTGCATGATAAAGAGAATGTAAGATGTAAAAATGGTCTTTGTTCAACTTGTGGCATACCACAAAGAATGAAAGGAAACTCAGAAGACAGATCAACTCAAAGCAATGCTAAACCACAACAAACTGAACAAATGCAAGAGACAGCTGAGCAGCAGTCAGGAGCAGATTTCAGTGCAACTAAAAGCAAATGCAGAGATAATGCAGGGCCAAAAAGTCTTCTTTCAACTTCCGGTGAAAGAGATGATTCAAAGAGGCGTAGTCTTATAAAAAAAGATAATGGAAGCTGGGAAAGAGAAGGTACAAACAAATCCAATTCTCAAACCGTCTACATACGGATCCCATTCTCAGTAATGTCTGGCAATGAATCACCCTCTAGCACAGACACAGTTGTTCCAAATGATAGCCCTACCTATAAATTAATAGACGGAGTTCCTAATCTTACTGAAATAAGGAAAAGAAAATCATATGCTATGTTATACGACAATCGAACCAGGAATGCAGCATGGGTGTATGAAATACTGAACAGTGAAACTTTAAAGCAAGAGGTTGCGAGGCAAAATGTCTTTAGTGTGGATCAATCGATTCATCCATTCTACCAAACATCTAAGAATCTGTATCAGCATCCCTATGTACGAGGCCATCTTGCTGCAGCTGCCAATCACAGGTGGTGTCAGAAAGCCCTTGAGGACACTTTTTTGATGAGCAACATTTCACCACAGCATGAAAAGTTAAATATAGGCAGGTGGAAACAGTTGGAGCAGAAATATCATAAGAAAGCACAGGACGATAAAAATGACATCCGTAATGTCCATGTGTACAGTGGACCACTTTACCTACCAAGAGATACTAATAGTGGGGTTGTGAACTATAAGGAGATGGGAGGCAAAGCAGTGCCGACTCACTTCTTTAAGGTGATAATTAAGGAGCATAAAGATGGGAAAGTGAAGCTGAAATGCTATAGGATGCCCAATGAGATATTAGACCCCAACGAGGACTACAGAGTGTCAATTGAAGATATTGAAAGAGCTTCTGGGCTGATCTTCAGAGAAAACAGTTGTAGTAAGGGAGAGACTGACAGTTTAAGAAAAGTGACTTGGACAGGAGAACATGACTATGTTAAAGTTAAAACAAAAGTCAATATAAGCACACCATGTACGTAAAGTGTATGTACCGACATCAGAAAAGCATACAGTAAATCACAGTATTGCATTGATCTTCCCTTATGAGTGTGTTAGGATGAACTGACCATCTGTAGATGAAAAGAGGGAAAGTTTGATTGACTAAGCCTGCAATTGTCTCACTAGTGGTACTAGTGGTTAAAACCCCATGTACTTTAAAGTTGAATAAATCTCAAAACTGTTATATATTACTTTCTTCAAAGTAACCGACAGTAAATGTCTTAATGTTTCCACATGGATGCTTTTTTTAAATATATATTTGAGTTACTGTGCATGTCGACTGCTTTTATTAGCTATTGGCTATTCGGTCTAATAAATATATTTTTGATAAATTACATTCTTTTTAACTTTGTTCATCAAAGTATAAAAAATATAGAGCAACACAACTGTTTTCAACACTGATAATAAATCAGTATTTTAGAATGATTTCTGAAGGATCATGTGACACTGAAGACTATAATGATGCTGAAAATTCAGCTTTGATCACAGAAATAAATTACATTTTAATACCTATTCAAATAGAAATATACTTTCCCACAATATCATATACCTGTATACTACTATGCAATTCTTCATAGTTCTAATGACTTTTCTGTTATTTTTAAGTGTGTGTAAAAAGTAGCTGTTTTCAAACTTTAACTGGTAGAGTATCTGAGTTTAAAAACCACATCCAACGAGTCAGAAACCAAAAACCATAATCTTGATAAATGTCTGTTTTGCATTATATATTACATGGGCCTATGTATTATTTTTATCTTATTTTATTCATTGCATGGAACCTTATACTAATTCTACTTTGTCAACATTTGTTTTTGTTATATACTGTATTTCTTGTCATTATTTGTTGTGTGTGATAATGCTTTGTTAAAACAAAATCATGCCAGTAAAGTATATTACACTGGATTTAACTGAAATTGAACTTGATTGAAAATACATTTCACTTTTTCACCCAGTGAGTAAAAGCCAATTGCTGAACAAACCGAAATAATACTTCTCAGTAAATTATTCTTTCTCTTCAGATTTTAAACAAAATGGTCTATTGTTAAGACCCATCATTGTCTCATTCGCTGAGCACATGATTAGGAGTGATTACACTGTAAAAAATAAAAATAAAGAAAGAAATGAACAGATCTGTTATTTTAAGTATTATATCAATTCAAATTTTTTAAACAGAACAATTTTATTTCGAGTATTTTCGATTTCTTAAATTACATAGAAATATATCTAAAATGACAAAAAGAATGGGGATCATAATTCGTGAAATCAGCACCTGATGGTGCAAATGGACATATGCACCAATGCTTATACCGTAAAAAAAAAGTTATTTTTCAGTTGTAAATTACTAAACCATTTTGGTCCCAAGTTTCTTTAATTCTTTTTGAATTGTTTTACAAGTTTGTCACTATAACTGATGTAATTGCTCTTGTTTTTGGATTGTGATACCGGTCTACTGGAAATAGACAATATCATTAAAATTATTATTTTATTGGGGAAATATCACATACACAAAGCAAAATGTATGTTAACTGTACCAAATGGTAGACTATTTTCCATTGATTTAAAGGTTTTTTATGATTCTCTAACTTCAATACAGATCAATCGTAAAGCTGTTAAGACATCTTAACAATTACAGAGGATACTTGATGTATTGGATATATAGTTAATCTTTGAAAAATTTGAAATTTTGGGGACTCATATTTGTACAACCTTGTATTCCCCTATTGTTATTTCAAATAATATTAATAATAATAAAAAATGACTCTATCTCCCACAATTCTTTGCCCGGTCTGGTTTGCTGTTTGCCCCTCTGTCTTGTTTGTTTTCAAGGTTTTGTTAGTTCCAATGGTGTTTAATTAGCTCCTCCCCTTGTTATGCTGCTGCATGTTGCTTTAAGATACATTTTAGATTAAGTTTTACTATGATTTTTTTAAATATATTTAAAGATCATTTATTTAAAACCATTTAGTGTAACAATTAAGTCATATTTGCATTCTTAATCAGTGAGTTGTTTCAAGTGCAAAGGTAATGTTGTTCAAGCCAGAGTGATTTTTTCTTTTCTTTTCAGAATTTGAATCTAAAAAAAAATATATTGTATATATTTTTTTTTCAAAAAAATTTTTTAACATGGCAAAATAGGTCTATAATTGTAGAGACATTGTTGATCATCTCCGTTTTTTAAAAACAGAGAAAAAATATGAACAAGTGGCTGCAATATTGAATATTCCACCTGTTTGACAAGGAATATACAGATATATTATTATGACCACCTGAAGATATTTAAATTCATCAATAATATTACTAATAATTACCAAGTCAGAACCAGTTAATTCTCTGCGTGCACATTTTTGCATGCCATTTTCATTGCTATAAATGGATGGTAAAGTGTCAATCCACAAAAAAAAATTGCATATAAAATTAGTATAGCAATATTAGTATAGAAATCAGTCAAATTCATTGGTCAAAAAAGTGAAAAATCCAGTAATTTATTTTTATAAATAATAAAAACACTTCGAAATTAATCTAACGTAATTATGATCAATGAATAAATTGCTCCAGGGAGCAGTGCAGACTTTGAGAAAGGTTTTACTGATGTAAAATATAACTCTATAAAGCTGTACATATGTGTGATTTAATAAAAGATAATGCAACTTGTATGGTCTTGTAAGTTTGTTTTTATTTTTTACAATGTTCATAGTGAAAGCGAGCCAGAGTTATGGTTTATCACTACTAATTTATGATAGGGTTGTGCGTTTAATCAAAAAATCAATCTGGTATGATTATTAAACCACCAAATAATTCATAAACATACAGTCTTCATGCATTATTTCCACACACTCTGTTAAGCATGTTTCACTGAAGACTTTTTAGCTTTAATATCTAAGCAGCAGCAACTGAACTCTTTTTTTTTTTTTAAGCTGTAGCACCAAACATCTTCAGTATTTGGTGCGGACGTCTCACATCTTTTTGTTTGCCAGTCTGCTTTAATGCAATAATCACACAAAAAAAAATCAACATTAATATTTAAGTTGCAGTATCAATTATTGGCACTGGTTTATTTACCAGTATATTGGACATTATTGGATATCTGTCAGCTGTTATTGGATATGTAATTGTTTCAACCCATTTTAAGATTCATCTAGCACTAATTTAATGGGACAAGCACTGATTATGGTACATTAAACCCTTTAAAGTGTGCATTTTACAATAGTTTTTACTAGTTGTAATCGTTTTTAATGAAGTAATTTAACCAAGTACTTTGGATTTGTAATATTGGCCTATTTATTGATTATCAGCCATAACATAAAAATTTTTGGTTATCATATCACAGTTCAAACTAGTTTTAGTTGAAGTAATCACAGTATGACTTGCTTGACCAAATCATGCAGTCCTTGTTCTTGGTCAGGAGTTTCTGTCGTGATATCCCAGGTGATTTCTGTCTGATCTCTTGAGTCTGTGATGGTTCGATTGACTGAGATGATGTTCTTGGCTCTGATTGACAGAAAGATGGAGAGGAGCGGGTGATAAAGAGAAGGAAGAAGAAGCAGGACGGCGGCCTGGAGGAGAAGAAACCCAGGAAATTCAAAGTACCCAAACCAGGGTGAGTTCAGACACGCTTTTGTGTTTCACTTAGGGGTGAACGATTTTGGAAAATAATCTAATTGCGATTTCATATGCAATTATTTTTTAAAGCTCTTTATGTTCTGTATTCAACAAAGTCAAGCTATAGCATTGTATAGTATGACCAACGCACTATTAGATAGATTAAACATAA